GAAAAGACGGGAAAAGCTTATGCCTGCTCTGTGCCGCCGCCTCTCAAAGCGAACACTTACCCTTTTGGTGTGCGTGTGAGGTTTGGGATAAAGCAATCTCTAGGATCTCTGTGTGAACGCTCGCAAGTGTCAGAAGTCTGTAAGAACTGGAGAAGATGCTTTCTTACAAAGGTGATGCAGGAATTTTAAAACAAGAACTTGTGCCCCATTATAAACATAAGATGTTGAGATCACATCGTTTCTTTTAGGATTTGTAACAGAGAAACTTTTTCTTTTCATTGCCCATAGAAGTTAGAGCTGTGGCCTTAGAGGCAATGCCCCATCCCTCTGTGTTATAGTCGTCTACAATATTCTATCAAAACATTCCTCGCCACACACACACACACAACACACACACACACAGCGCTCATGTCGCGCTCATTAAAAGGAAAGAAGTAAGATAACATAACCACAAGCTGTGTGCCAGCGTGTAAATTTGACTCTCATGAGCACATAACCCATGAAGCCTGACGAGCGTCTCTCTCTCTGCTCTCGGATGTTCTCCATTCATTAACACTCATTCCATTCTGGAAATTTGTCACAACTTTAGAGAGATGAGGGTGAGTGACGTGGAAAGGAGTGCAACAGTGGATGTCTGCAGGGGGGAAGGAGTTATAGGGTCTTTGTTTCCCTTCCTTTAGAGGCAAGCAAGAGAGAGACGGAGAGGAGAATAAAAACAGCATGAACATGCTTATTCTCACTAATCTCATGCTGAGTTTTCACACCTACTGCTCCAGCATGATACATTATTCAGTGTTTGTTTTGCACGGCCTCGCCCAATCCTGGGCCGAGTGAGCGCACGAGCTGCAGGCAAAAAGAAGACAAAAAAGAGATGGTAAAGGTGCGAGGTGTCCGTTTGTTCACCTCCGGTTGAACCGTGGAGGTCAGCGTGTGTGAACTTTTGATGATGGAATGCATGACTTTTGGTCACAGACACCATTTTTAAAATAACACTTACTATACAAGTAATGTCTCCACACTCGAGTAAGTTGAAAAAGCCAAGCAGGCCCACCCGCTGTGGCCCACCTGCACTGCCATTGTTCTCCACAGAAACTTTTTGAGAAGCGCATGGGACACAATCGCTCTCTATCTGTGTCTGTTGGAGACCCACACTGGGAGAAGAGGGCTTCAAAGAAGTTCTGTTTGATGTTATGCGCGTCAGAGCTCTCGGTGGGCTGAGCCATCAGTGAAGACGTCGTCTAATTTTCTGTGGCGATCTAGAAAGTTTGGGAAACCTGCACCTGCGTAATTAAACCCAAGCATAAAAAGTGATGACAGTCAAAGCATCTAGAGATAAAATACTCTTTTATTATTGCTATTGTAAATTATATTGTATGTTTTCTTCCACTTTTACTATTACCTAGCATCATTTGGCACATTTCCTTCAGTATGAACAACGTCTTTGTTCTGCAGTATTTGATGATCATGTAACTTTGGCAACTGCTGAGAGTCTCAGGATGTTGTTTATTTTAGGGTCCACATCGTATTCAAACTTAGCATGGAAACGCATACAGTAGCTGAGAAATTGACATTTGAGATGACCATATAGGCTCATGAGAAATGATGGATAGTTCTGGTTACCCATGATCACTCAAGCAGCACGGGTGAAGTGTTTTCCTCTAAGCCAGGAGCCACCGTTGATCAGTGGTCCATGTCTGCAAACCCTTGCCCACATCTCCTGTTTTCTTCCTCCCTGTCTCCTCAGTCTCTCTCTCTCTCTCTCTCTCTCTCTCTCTCTCTCTCTCTCTCTCT